GGGGTCTTCACCGTCAGACTCCTTTCACTGCGGGGGCTCAGAACCCCCCGAGAGTGCAGACACAGAAGAGGCCAGAGCTTCAAAGGCCTGGCACCGTGTCTCCATCACTGTGCGCGCGCTGTTGGCCGAAGGGCTCACAGGTCACCGTGGAGGGGAACTAGGTGTGATGCATCGAGGGCAGTCTTTGGAGACTCCGTGCTGTGAAAGCCTTGGCCTCATCTGGCCTGGTGAGAAGCAGAGCCCGGGAGAAGTTCAATCACAAGAGCGTCTGACTCCAAAGCGCCCATCGGGAACCAAGCCGTTCAATCCCGCGGCTTTCCTTTAGGAACAAAGACTATAAACCACTTGCTCACCGGTCTTTCCGATGACCATCAATGTTTTCCCAGGTCTGAGTGGAATCTTGCCCTTGCTGACAGGATCCGAGAGCACCCAGCCCTGCTCCCGATGGGCGTCGAGGGCCACGCAGGGACGTCATGCCTCCCAAACACCTCCCACCTCAGTAGACGCATCTCTCTTGCTTGCCCAACAGGACGGACCTATTTCATAGGAAGAACGGGGCCCGCCAAGGTGCCAAGAAAATCCTCATCGTCATCACCGACGGGCAGAAATACAGAGACCCCCTGGAATACAGCGATGTGGTCCCCCAGGTGGAGAGAGCGGGCATCACCTGCTACGCCATCGGGGTACGCGTCCTCTTCCCGGCTCCCTTAGTCTCAGCCTGCCCGGTCTCCGGGCAGAAAGGCTGCAGGGCTGTGGGACCGCTCCCTCAGCTGTCTCTCCCCCCAGGTGGGAGATGCCTTCCAGGAGCCCACGGCCAGGCACGAGCTGGACACCATTGGCTCTGCCCCTCCTCAGGAGCATGTGTTCAGAGTGGACAACTTTAGAGCCCTGGGCAGCATCCAGAATGAGCTGCATGAGAAGATCTTTGCAGTTGAGGGTGAGTGAGGAACTGGGCTTGGGTCTCGGAAGTGGGTCGGGCTCTACACCTGCGTCTCCAGGGACAGTTCATCCCTGTTCACCCCAAACTGCACCCAGACGCCAAACCCGAGACCACGGCTCTTCCCTGAGCTCCGAGGCCTCCGGGAGCCTAAGCGATGGATTTCCCCGCAGGAACCCAGCTGAGGACCAGTAGTTCCTTCCAGCAGGAGCTGTCTCAGGAAGGTTTCAGTTCTGTGCTCACACGGGTGAGTGGACCGGCTGCTGGAGAAAGAGGGCCCAGGCACTGACTCTGGGCCACACCTCGAACCGGTGCTAGATGCAAAAGCAAACAAGGAAGCCATCCCTGCCCTCCGGGGCCGCACTGTCTGCTGAGGGAAGAGACAACCGTGTTAGGCTCTGGGGGACGCAGGAAAGGGCAGGACAGACAAGGTTCTAGCTCCTGTGGGGTTTGACCTCCGGTGAGAGGGGACCCTAAACAAGTACTAAGTAGGTCAAAAGATGTTTTGATTGTGCTACGTGTCCTAAAGACAGTCGGATTGGAGTGTAAGGATAGAGAATGTGAGGGGAGCTGAGGAGGCCAGAGGTGTAATCCCTGCAGCTAAACGATGAGACCCCCGTACACGAGGAGATGGCGCCAGCCCTAGAAAGCCCCGGGACAAGAGGGTTCCAGCAAAGGAAAAGGCAAGTGCAAAGGCCCTGAGGCAGGAACAGGGCTGCTAAGTTTGTGTGGCCGGAGCCCCAGTGAAGGAGGTTGGATTGCAGGGAAGGGTCTTGCAGGACAAGTTCAGTGACAGGGCGGGGCATGACTTATCCGGAAGTAGATGCATGTTCAAATGGCCCAGGTGGATTTGCTTTTCTCCGATCTGTGTGGACACTGAGGGGTCACATCAAACAGAGGTGGTCATGAGTGGATTCCTGAGGCCTGGTTGCTGGGTCATCACAGATTCATGACAATCAAGTAGGCGGAGCGGTGAGCACCGACCACTCCCTGGGGTGGGGCAGCGGGGAGGGAGGGTGTCACAGGCGAGAGATGACCACCAAGTTGACGCTTCCAGAGAGAAGAGCCGAGTTCCGCCGGGAAGAGAGGCGGTAAGGAG